GTCCCTGACCTGTCCCAGCCTGTCCCAGTTGTCCCCAACCTGTCCCAATTGTCCCCAACCTGTCCCTGACCTGTCCCCAGCCTGTCCCAGTTTTCCCCAGCCTGTCCCTGACCTGTCCCAGTTGTCCCCAGCCTGTCCCAGTTGTCCCCAGCCTGTCCCAGTTGCCAGGACGGGACCGAGGAGAGGAAAAGGGAGCGAGGCCGAGGTGTCACCTCCCTGTCCCCCCCTCCCCCGTGTCCCCCTGCCCTAAGGGACAGGAATTGTCCCCTCCGGGCTGTCCCATCCCCTCACCCCCTCCGCGGGGCCCGGAGAGGAAAACTCCATTTTTTGGGGAAGGAAACACCCCCAAACACGGAATTTCACAGGTTTGGGGAGATCCTGCAAGAAAAAGGGACAAAATTCCATTTGAACACCGGGCTGGGAGATTCCAACACTTTTTAATGCTCCGGAATTTCTTCCTCTCGGTGGCTCTGCGATGTCACCTCGCTGTCACCTGGCCCAGGTGGGACCCTCTGAGCTGCTGATTTGGGACAGGACGGATCAATCCCTCCCCCTGGCTGGGAATTCCGGGATCCCGGGATCTCTCGCTGCCCTGGAGCCCACGGTGTCCACTCCGGTCACCTGAAGGGACAAAGTGGCGTCAGCCCAGGGAGGAGCAGGACAGGTCCCCAAGGGCCACCAGGGAGGTGACAGTGTCCCCAGCACCCCAAATCCCTTCCCGAGTCCTTCCCGCTGTCCCCGCAGCCGCTCGGGGACATTCCAGAGGGACAGCGGGGATTTGGGGTCAGGGTGCCACCGGGGCAGGTGACAATTCCACCTCCCCCCGCATTCCCGGGAATGGGGACAGGCGGTGGCAGCTCCCGCTCGTGTCATTGTCACTGCTGGTGGCCTCGGGGGGACTCGGTGTCCTGGCCAGGGGGGACGGTCAGCCAAGGGCTTGGACAGAGTCCTGGGGATGGACAGGGATGGACAGAGGGATGGACAGGGATGGACACAGGGACAGGGATGGACACAGGGATGGACAGGGATGGACAGGGATGGACACAGAGACAGGGATGGACAGGGATGGACAGGGATGGACACAGGGACGGGGATGGACAGGGATGGGGATGGACACAGGGATGGACACAGGGATGGACACAGGGATGGACACAGGGACAGGGATGGACAGGGATGGACACAGGGATGGACAGAGGGATGGACACAGGGACGGACACAGGGATGAACAGGGATGGACAGAGGGATGGACACATGGACACAGGGATGGACACAGGGACAGGGATGGACAGGGATGGACAGGGATGGACACAGGGATGGACACAGGGACAGGGATGGACAGAGGGACAGGGATGGACAGGGATGGACAGGGATGGACAGGGATGGACACAGGGACAGGGATGGACAGAGATGGACAGGGATGGACAGAGGGATGGACACAGGGATGGACACAGGGACAGGGATGGACAGAGGGATGGACACACCCAGTGTCACTTGCTGTCCCCAGGAATGTTCCTGCTCCCAATTCCCAATTCCCAATTCCCAATTCCCAATTCCCATCTCCCCCATTATCCCACGTTATTCCAGCCTCTCCCTCACATCCCTGCATGGCCTGAGCCCAAATTCCCTCATTAATTAATTGCTTGGGATCATTAATTAATTAATCATTAATTGAGGCGCCCCTGCACATTCAGCCCCTGGTGTTGTTTCAGGGATTCCATAAATCCCTGAAAATGCCTCTCCCTGCTGGTTCCCCCTGCCTGATTCCCAGGATCTTTGGGATTCAAATCCAGGGGAAAAGCTGGATCTGTTTAATTTGGGAATATCTGGATCCGTTTAATTTGGGAATTTGGGATTTAATTTGGGATTTAATTTGGGATCTGTTTAATTTGGGAATATCTGGATCCATTTGTTTGATTTGGGAGTTTGGGATTTAATTTGGGATCTGTTTAATTTGGGAATGGCTGGATCTGTTTAATTTGGGAATTTGGGATTTAATTTGGGATTTAATTTGGGATCTGTTTAATTTGGGAATATCTGGATCCATTTAATTTGGGAATATCTGGATCCGTTTAATTTGGGAGTTTGGGATTTAATTTGGGATTTAATTTGGGATCTGTTTAATTTG